GCATGCATGTGATGCAGAGACATACATGTAGGCTAAACAAGTATTGTGGAGGTTTGAATGAGCTGTCCTCCATAGTCCTGGGCATTTGAATGCTGAGTCCTCAGTTGGTGGTGCTGTTTGGGGAGACTGAGGAGGTGTGGTCTTGTTGGAGGAGGTGTGTCACTGGAGGTGGACTGTGAGAGTGATAAAACTCCTACTGTAGCTAGAGTTTTCCTGCCTGGCCCACAGTCAGGACAAATCTCTGTCACCCACCAGTCCCACAGCCGCTCAGACCCAACCAAGTAAACACAGAGACTTATATTGCTTACAAACTGTATGGCCGTGGCAGGCTTCTTGCTAACTATTCTTATATCTTAAATTAATCCATTTCCACAAATCTATACCTTGCCACGTGGCTCGTGGCTTACCAGCGTCTTCACATGCTTCTTGTCATGGTGGCGGCTGGCAGTGACTCCCTCCGCCTTCCTGTTCTTTCTTTTCTCCTCTCTGTTAGTCCCACCTATACTTCCTGCCTGGCCACTGGACAATTAGTGTTTTATTTATTGACCAATCAGAGCACATACAGACCATCCCACAGCACTTTTCTAGTTTGCTCTCTTTGCTTCTTGTTTTTCAAGACGAGAGTAAGCTCTTAGCTCCACCTCCAGCTGCCATATGTGCCTGTGATGATGATGCTGTTCTCTTATCCCGCTGGAACTGTGAGCCCAACTTGAACTTTCCTTCTAGAAGTTGCTTTGGGTGTGGTGTTTTATCACAACGTTAGAAAAGTAACTAATGTATCTGTATGCATAAAAGATAATTAAAATCTATTTTATTATTTACATATGTATGTGTCTGTGTGAGTGAACACCACATGTGTGTGGATGCCTGTAGAATCCAGAAGAGGGTGTTGGACCTCCAGAAGCCAGAGTAACCGAATTTATGAGTTGTCTGATGTGGGTGCTGGGAAGGGAACTCAGGTTCTCAAAGAGCACTATGTGCTCTTAACCACTGAGCCACCTCTCCAGCCCAAATTAAACATTTTGTTTGAGACCAAGTTTTTCTAAAGTGCATGGGCTGGCTTTGAGCTCACTCCTTGAACTCACTTGGTAGACAAGGCAGAGTTTGGACTTGGAATGCATCACCAGCCTCACTTGCCTGAATGTCTTATTTATTTATTTATTTATTTATTTATTTATTTATTTATTTATTTATTTATTTTAAGGCAGGGTCTCACTACGTAGCTTGGCTGACCTAGAAATCACAAAGTTCTATCTGCCTCTGCCTCCTGAGTGCTGGGATTAAAGGTGTGTGCCATTGTATCTGTCCTGGATGTCTTCTAGAAACCACAGACTCAATGTGATCAATCCTGTATTCATTACTTCATTTATGTATGTATTTATTTACTAGACAGAGTCTTATTTTATAGCTGACTGGAACTTACTATGGAGACCAGGCTGGCTTTGAACTGACAGAGATCTGCCTGCCTGCCTGCCTCTGCCTTCTGAGTGCTGGGATTAAAGGGGTGCACCATCATGCCCAGCTGTCACTTTTCTTATTTAAGGCACTCCCAAATGGCCTCACACTTACTATGTAGCCAAGGATGACACTGTAGTCCTGATCTTCCTGCCCCACCTTCCAAATGTTAAGATTATAGGCTTGCATTGTACTGCTCAGTCTATGTGGTGTTGGAGATCAAGCCCAGGGCTTCCTGCATGCTAGGCAAGCACTCTATTGGCTGATCACATCCTCAGCCCCTCATGATCACTTCTCATAATTTCTTTTCTCTCTCTACATCTCTCTTCGCTTATAAAAAGGAGTTGAGGTGACTGGAAGTGTCACTCAGTGGTACAGTGCTTGCCTGGCATGCAGAAGGCCCTGCGATTGACCCCAGAACACACACACACACACACACACACACACACACACACACACACACACACACACACACTTAGGAAGCATGAAGGAAGAACTAAAAGGCCTTGGGGCTCAGAAGACAGAAACCATGGAAACTGTTGGTTACCACTTGTAAAATCACTTGCCTGGCCATCTGAGACACTGTCTTTGATGACTCATTTATAAACGTGTCCATGTATCTCTGCTCACCTTGAGCCATGTCACCCCGGACCTTTCGACTTTGGTGTGCTTTATCGATAAAGTAAATCCACAAAGAGGAAATCCCAGCATCCAGAAAAGAGAAGATCTGACAGAAGAGGGAGATGAAAGGAACTCCCAGGGTGCTTGTGAACAGAGATCCCAAGATGGCAAAGGCAGAGAAGGCCCAGAAATCAGTCAGCTAAAATTGCAGCAGGTCAGAAGTCTCTGGGCATGATTTCTCCAAGAAGAGGCCACTGTCGCTGTCAAAGAATTTTGTATATGTGGTTAAAATCTACTGTCATATGGTTTTAGGTGTAGGAGTTCTGGGCCTTACCAATCAGGTCAGCAATAGAGTAAGAGGTAACTATGGTAACCAGGTTCATACAGTATTCAAGTGGGGGTGGAGGGTTAGGGTCAGAGACAAACTCATGGCCTTAAAATGGTATTTGAGTTAGGCCTTAAAATAACAATTCTTGACATTCCTTGGGCCAATGTTGCTATGAATTTTAATGGAAATTATAGCCCCTTTCTTCAAGAATAAATAAAAAATGAAACCCAGAACAATTCCATCTACACAAAGGCATGCCATCTAGAATCAGTGGGTCCCTTATTGAGGACCCGGCTGAGATAAATGAGGAGACTTAAAAATGGGAGGGGAGTAGGGGAGTCATGTAGGCAGACACATGTAGTGAGGGACAGTGTCTGCTAGAGGAAGTGTGGCAGGGGATGCCCCTCATTCCCTTGTAGGACTCTTTGTTGACATTGCCATGAATTGTAGAATATTATTTTAAGATGTGATTAATATTTGTTTTTTTAATTTTTACATTTGTTTATGCTGTGGAACATTTGTTTTAATGATGCAAAGATGTGTTGCATTCTTTATGTTGCATTTGTTTAACTGTGAAGCTGTGTTACTGTGCCTGAATAAAACACCTGATTGGTCTATTAAAGAGCTGGACAGCCAATAGGAAGGCAAGAGAAAGGATTGGCAGGGTTGTCAGGCAGAGAGAATAAAGAAAAGGGAAAATCTGGGAGGAGGGGAGATCAAGGAGCTAGAAAAGAAGGGGCCAGCTATCCAGCCACACAGCCAGCCACAGAGTAAGAGTGAAAGTAAGATTACAGAAGTAAGAAAAGGAAAAAGCCCAGAGGCAAAAGGTAGATGGGATAATTTAAGAAAAGCTGGCTAGAAACAAGCCAAGCTAAAGCCGGGCATTCATAAGAAATAATAAGTCTCCATATATGTTTTATTTGGGAGCTGGGTGGCACCCCAACCTCCCAAAAGCCAAAAGAATGAAACAACCACCAACAGCTGTGGTTTGAATTCCAACACAGAACTCCATACAGTGCTAACTCAAATCCCAGTGTAACCATTTTGGGAGCTGGAGCCTCTGGACATGTTTAGGTCACAATGCCCCATCCTCATGCCTGGATCAATGCTTCTATGGAAAGGACTTGGGGACTAGGCTTTCTTCTTGCCCTTCTGCCTTGGGCTGGGTCTTATGGGTGGCTTGTCTCGGACTTCTCAACCTCTAGAACCATAAGCAAGTTTCTGTTCTTTATAATTACCTAGCCTGGGCTACTCTGCTTCAGCAGCACAAAACATATGAACCTAGAGCAGATCTAACCCAAGGTGGATTCCCAGCATCAACTTTGCTGGTACAATTTCTACTTATGCTGAGAAAGTGTGAGTGTGCAAATAAGCATAAGCTGGTTACAGACTATATTTATGAAATTTTGTACTGTGTTTATTTACAAGCAACAGCCTGCTTTAACATTAAGTATTTTATTTTGAGCATCTCATCAGGAACATCTTTCTGCAGCCCTGGTTACCAGATGGTGTACATTCCTTGTTTACAGCATTCACTGTCCCTTCTGCTGGCTTCATTTCCATGTGGGATGTAGCATCCTTCCAACCCCTTGGCTTAGGACATCACTGTCACTTTCTTTAGCCAAAGGAACATGAATGGAAAAGCACTTCCTGCAAGTAGAGATGCTACATGCTTCCATTGTTTTCCTTCCATTGCCATGCCTCAGGGCTGCTTCAGGTTCCCAGATGAAGACAACCCTCAGAGCTGAGCTGTATCTGGCCCACATGTATGAGTGAAAAATAAAACTGTCCTGATTAAATCTATTGCAATTTTGGGGTTGTTGGTTACCATAGCACAACACATTGACTGATACACCAGCATATTTGGGCATGTCCATTGGATTAGTTGAACAGAATCTACCATTAGGTAGATCTTGTCTTAGAACTAGGAATTTTATTATTTTATTTCTACCTGTCATGAGCTTCAGTTTACTTAGGATTCCAGAAAATCTATGCCAAGTGTCTTAGTCAATGTTCTATTGCTGTGAAGAGACTCCATAGCTAAGGCAACTCTTATAAAGGAAGACATTTAATTGGGCCTGGCTTACAGTTTCAGAGGCCTTAGACATGGTGCTGGAGAAGTAGCTGAGAGTTCTACATCCAGATTTGCAGGCAGCAGGAAGAGAGAGACCACTGGGCCTGGCTTGGGCTTTTGAAATCTCAAATCTTACCCCCAGTGACACACTTCTTCCAACAAGGCGACACCTCCTAATCCTTTCAAATAGTGGTAGTCTCTAAGCATTTAAATATATGAGCCTATGGGGGACACTCTGATTCATACCACCACACTGGGGTTATTTCTATTAAAAAGATTTACTTTTTTATTCTATTAATCAATCAATAAACGTGGGCTGAGGTTATAGTTTAGTGGTAGGGCCCTTGCCTAGTAGATACAAACTCTAGATTTGATCACTCAAATCCCCCAGTGCGCACACGCGCGCGCGCACACAGACACACACAGACACACACAGACACACACAGACACACACACACACACACAGACACACACAGACACACACACAGACTGTAAGTCATTGGAATCAATGTATGACCACAGTTGAGAACAAAATATTTTATTTCTTTCAATAAAACTATAGTTTACAGTAGTATTTACTAAATAAATTATATAATTTCTCTTTTACAAGCAATAAACTAAATCACAAATATTTCAAAGACAATGTATATACACGACATAAGGCCTTTTATAAATAGCTTTGCTTTTCTCATTTCACTAGTAAACAGTGAAAAAAATCTTTATAGAAGCTATCTTTCTATAAAGTAAAGGCAGACCTATTATACTGATCTTTATAGGGGACAGATAGAACCTTTTGATGACATGGGCTATGATTAGAATTTTTTTAAACAAAGAGAGAGGATTTATATCTTAATTATCATTTTTGCATGGATAGATTTTTAAAAAATATAGAAGCAGATTCCATGTGTTGCTTATGTGTGATCACCATATGCATGCAAAATGGAACAATGCAAGAGCCTATAGGAAAATAGCACTTCCCAATCCAGAGAGGTGATTGGCAACGGTATAGAAAAGCAGCTTAAGTACAGTTCATGCAGCTCTTCACAGTCAGCAAGCAACAGCAGCCACAGAACAGCGTGGGGGTTTCACATCCACCTGCTGATCAGCCATGAACCAAGGCGCCCCCGACATCTCACGAGCTTCAAGGTCCAGTGGATTCTTACTGTGTGTGCTGGGGCTCAGCCCAGTACCTCTGCGAATTCTGCAGTGGGGAAGGTCTCTCCCACAGCTGTGTTGAGGCCCCATCCATGTGCTTAGGTGGTTACCACTTTCATTACTGGGGGAAAAATAGGAGAAAAAAAAAGAACAGATGTGAGACTCACTTTTAGCATCAGTTTGTAACACCTGCCTACAAGTGGTCCTTAAGTTGTTATTTCTCCCATTGACTTGTACCGGGAAAAGCATGCATTAGGTTTGGGATTTTCTTAGAATGTCATATGCTTCTTTGGGGGCCCGTGAGATGTTACTTACCCAAGGTTCATCAAGATCAAGCCCCAGTTACATCACAGCACTGATGTTGGGGACTTTGAATGAAGTGATGTTAAGAACCACTCTGCCTTCTCAGAGCACAGGGCTCAGGGAGTGTGTGGTATGTGAGACCCGAAGCCAAACAGCGCAATTTGAACGTAGCCCTGTACTCACAAATGCTATGCTCCTTTCCGAACAACATCCTCATGGCCAGCAACAAAACAAGCCATCAGATGTCTAACCTAAAATGCTAACTAAAAGCAGAGCCAGGCAAGGTAGAAATGATTGTAATCCTGCAGTCCCAGCACTTGGAATGTGGAGATGGGAAGTGGCAATCCAGAATTCCAGGTCATCCTCAGCTACACAGTGAATTTGAGGCCAGCCTGAGCTACATAAAATGCTGACTGAAAGCAAAGCGAAGCAAACAATGAAACAAAATAAGTAAGAGGAAGCAGAGACAGCCATGCCAGTCTGTGCTAGATGTGTCATGGTGTATGTGGGGAATACCGTTTCAGTCCGTATAGACATATATACTGGGTCAAATCTACTTTCGAATTACCTAAGCCATGCAGCATTGCCTATGTTTCCCAGCCTTTATATCCTGTTTCATCTCTAGAACAGGAATAACAATCAAGGGCCACACCACCCTGAATCCACCGGAGACTGTCTGATCTTGGAAGCTAAGCAGAGTCTGGCCTCGTTAGTACTTGAATGGGAGAAGAGGAATAACTAACGCTTCTCACAGAGCAGTTGTGAGGGGTTGACTTTTCTTCTCCCCTTGAACTTCCTCACTCCTCCCTTTTTAGGGATGGGTTTTACTGTGTTACCAGGTTGGCAGTGAAAGCCCAGGCTCACGTGATCCTCCTGCCTCCGCCTGTCAAGAAGTTTGGACTAAGGGTGTGCACCATCACAACCGGTGGAGATAAACTCTTCTTTGTGTGTGTGAAATAAAATGTCAGACATCACACACACACACACACACACACACACACACACACACACACACACTATTCTGTCATTGTTACACACTCGCTGCAGGAACTATTTTGTTTAAGCTAATTCCCTATACCCTCGCTTTTAGACTTGGAAGTGACATTTTCCTTCCTATAGGCTCTTGCATTATTTCATTTCGCAAGCTCATAGTGATTGTAGAAACAACAGATGATATATGTTTATATATAAAGAAATAAAATTGGGGCTGGGGATGTAGCTTTGTGATAAAAGTATGTACTTAACATTTGTGAGGCCCTGAGTGTGAGTCTTAGAATCAAAGCAGACAAAGAAATCAACATCAATGCAGTGCTCCCAAATTGGAGAGGTTAGAGCTGGGGTCACAGACATGGTACTACCCAATACCTTCAAAAGAGACAAACAAAACAAAACACAAACCCAACTTGAAATAAAGAGTTTGAAATGTAACTTGTTTTTTGGAAAAAAAGTAGCCAAGGGAAATCTCATTTGGCAATAAATAATCAATATTCATCACATAATCTGTCTCTATTGTGAGTTTTAATTTTATAAACTTACTTCTTTTTCTTTTTCTTGGAATTAAACCCAAGGCCTCAAGCATGCTAAGCAAGTGCTGTAACACTGAGCTCTGTCTCTAGCCCTCACTGTTTGGCTTTATAGTTCATTTCTCCCTCTCTTTTCTTTTCTCTTCTCTTCTTCCTTC